TTTCAACAGAGAGATGGTGTTGTACGCTTTTTCAGGCCGGTGTGCTGGGTGCGCGAAACTCAAAAAGAGTTCTCTACACTCTTTTTTTTCCTATAAGAATATCATTTTTCCGACTCGGGCTGAACTAACCCGTAATTCTTATTTTTCTATTTTTTTATTTTTTTTTTTATTTTGAAGTAATTTTGGAGCCAGACTACAGGCAATAAGCCTAATTTGACCCACATTACATATGGCAGAAATTTAATTAGCGTTAAACGTACAGCTAGTGCTGAGTTTGCTGGGTTTTTTGGCCAGTTTTGCCGTTTAGAGAAGGAAAGAACAATGCTAATGAGAAAAGTCAATCGTGACAAAAGGTTATTGCCATAAATCGACCTAGAACCTCATGGGAACCAAGAAGGTAAGGTAGGTTGATCTCTATTCATAAGTATACTCCTCAGTTCGTACCATACAAATCCTTATATTTCGACTGATGTATAACCTGAAGACTACTGTATGTACAGGGACTCTCATTTGCGAGCTTGGACCACCCGTAAGACAAGATAATACATTGGACAGGGCGGGCACTTTGTCTGTGGACTTATATTAAACTGAAACGGTCTGGAAACCAGTCGACTAGAATTTACTGAAAGGCACAGAAAGAGTTCCAAGCCAAAGTAATAAGCCGCCGAATTCAAATGAGCATGCCAGTTTACCAACACCAGAGTATTCTAACAACGAACAAGCTCGAATTTTCTAGGGCATGAATTTTTTTTCTCACCTTTAGGTTTGGCATGATTTTTTTGGTGGGCAATAGCTTGTGCAAGTATTTGCTTAACATCAAAAATCAAAATCATAATAGTAGAAAGCACTTGCTCGATTTTTCCCCCATGGCTCCCCGTGCAAATTTTTTTATTCAGCAGTTTTTGCCGTGCGGGAATGTCTTTTGTTTTTTGGAAATTGCCCAACGCCTTCTCCCTCAAAAAAATATTGGTCCGTGTTGGCTCTCAATGATCTCCCCGAGACCACCTTGTGCGCCTAAAAAGGTTTACCCGAGACCACCTTGCGCGCTCTGCTGTCTCTACCGCGATTTAGCCTAAATACCTTTCAGTATCACCGCCACGCTACTAGCGAAATTGGCGCAATCGATCGTGACGCTTTCTTTCGTTTTATTCCCAAATAAAAATGTCTTCAACTTGCATTTGCTAACTTTATTACTGCCTTTCCTGTCCGACTAGTTGGGTGATACTAAAACAATTAGACCCTTCGCCCTCAAGGGCCACGGGACAATAGCCCATTCGGCTTCGCCTCATGGGCCATTGACCCATAGCCCTTGCAGGCTGCGGGTCTAATTGTTAAATATTTACGCGATTGCTCCTATATGGCTCCACGGGATTAAGCCTCTGGGCCAAAACCCTACGGGGGTAAAAACGTGCCTACCCCGTTTAGGTTTTAAATTTTGTAGGAAGGTTTATTGGCAGACGTCTATCGTCTTTCTTGAAATTTTTGCGATGTTTTCCAACGATCAATTTTCGCAAATTTTTCATAAGTTTCCTAACCAAATCACTGACGCGTGAGAAACTAGTTGAAACGAAAATAAAACAAACGAGAAGCGTTTTTGTTTTCTCGACACTTATTGGCATACGAGAATTACTGTAGTCAACTTTGTTAAAAAGTTATTTGGGACTGCCATGGGAGAATGTGAAAGCTGTACTCAATGAACTGAGCGCAGATAGGGACCGTGATGCAGAGAACAAACATGCTGGTATAGAGGGTCGTACAGGGAGGTCTCTGGCACGGTTCACGAACGGAAAAAATAGGGAATCACGGATCACGGATATAAAAATTTCGCTTTCCCGAATCACGAAAATAAGCAAGTAAGATACTCTTTTTAATGACCTGTTCTTATACTAGTAGCAGTGTTTGAAGAAAGTAAAATCGCGAAAGGCTAAGTCAAGGCTCCGTATTGCAAATCGCATACCTAATTCACTCTCGATAGAAAACTGAAAAACTCTCGGTAGACGACTCTAACCATTCGGAGGACTTGAGTCTGAAAATCACGAAGAATAGAGTGGTAAAATCACGAATATCGGTTAATAATTCAGGTTCTTCACGGGTCACGCAAAAACTTCAGGTCACGAGTCACGAAGAATAATTTCCTAAATTCACCTTTCACGGAAAATAAAATTAGCTAATCACGCATCACGAGAATACCCCTGTACGACCCTCGGTATAGGAAGAAAATTAACGGAGTCTTCTGAGTGAAATGTTAAACTTGATATTCGCTTGTGTAGGCAAAACATTAAATTTCTTACATATACAAATTCCCTAAGTCAACGCGACACTCTTCGTAGAAAATTCCCATAACTTGTATATATAATGGTCTGACTGAAAAAAAAAAATTAACTATATATTATAATACAACTTATGTCATAGCTAATGGGTCATTCATTTATTTTTTTTCTTTCTTTTACCGGAGTCATTAATATTTTAAGCAATAGAACACACAATTTTATTGTTCTTCGACGCGGGTAACAAAAACTAAAACCTGGACTCATCGATAAATCACACCTTAGGTGAACAGGAGCAGAAAGCGAGAAATTATAAGGTCTTCGCGTGTTTTACTGTTATCGTTAGTGCAAAAAATGCTTTGAAAAACTATAGTAATATAGGAAAATCACTGTATAAAATGACCGGCATTCTCTATGTGCTGTGTAACGGGTAAAACAGTCAATATTGCTCCTAACCTGTCAGATCGGAAAGCGAGAACAAGTCATTTTGAGCTACTGAATAAACATAAGTGGCCTGTCGGAAAGGAACGTAACATCAATTATAACAGTTAGACCCATATCTAACAGTTAATTCAAGGTAAAACAAGTTTTGATATCAATGAACGTGAAAAACTGGCTTGCTAGAAATCGCCTTCCAATGTTAAAACGGACAAACAGTGCAGGTTTGTATATCATCGGGCCTTTTATCAGTCCAAGGCTACTTGGTTAGAATTTACTTGTTAAAATCTCAAGTGGTCTATTAACCTTTGTTATTTACTGAGTGATCTTATATTGTTTCAGCCTATTTCAGCCGAAGGCACGTAAGAATTTGAAGTGAAGAGGCGTTTAATTGATTAAGAAGAAGTGAAACAAAACTGGAAAAGCCCGAAAAAAAAGTAATAACGACACGAACCACATTCCATGAAGATGACACACGACAAGGAAGTAACGCAATCCGACAAGGAAATAACGCAATCCGACAAGGAAGTAACGCAATCCGACATGACTTGTCCTTGTGGTTTCTTTCGGAAGCGTTACATGGTAGCCATGTTGAGTTTTCTCGGATTTGCGAACATCTACGCTATGCGAGTGAATCTTAGTATTGCTATTGCTGTTATGGTCGCTAACCAAACAGTTATACAAGATGGCAAGGAAATCCAGGTATTGTCTAACGTTTGTTGTCCCACCTATTTCTTAAAACTGGGGGTTTTTCTACGCATTAAAACCGTAGTTGGTGGCTTCTCCATTTTATGCAGAACAACGTTTTCCTTTGCACTTAGCTGCAATCGTCAAATAACTCAGATTATGCCTAAAAGGAGAAAAACGGTACTACAGATGTTCATGTTTATTTCAACAATTTTCACGGAGTCCTTAAATATAAACATAAAGAACTTCTTCACGCATTCCAAGATGTAGACGCCTTTAATTCATAGATCTCAGATCTGTGTTCTACAAAAATACTTGGCATTTATAAGAAAATGTTTCACAACGCGTCAAAAAACAATAATTAAATTTAGGTCGCGCCTGTATCACCAACGTTGCTCGGAATATTGCAGCGTTTGTCCTGGTTAACTGAATCGTTTGAGCCAAATAAGTTGAGTGCAATGAGCTAAGATTTATTGAACAAGATTTCCCAAGTGTCGTTTTTTATATTCCTTAAATGTAGGAACCTGCAGAATTTTCCTGGAGTACAAAAATACAAGGTGAGTTGAAATATGTATTTGGTATTGATCGAGAGCGGTCTGTATAGTAAAGTATAGAAAAACCGACCTTAAGACCGCAAATAGAACGATTGTAAGGCCCAGATTTACTTCAATTCGTCCATTTGTCTGTCAGTCCGTGGATAGTATTCGTTTTTTCCGAATTTATGCATTCCCCGTCGCTGACAAAACAACTCTTATGAAAGCATAGTTTTCTTTACCAACAAAGATATCAAACACAGTAACTGACAAAAATTAAGAATCATTCGGAAAAAGTTCAGAAAGCCTTCGTCTTTCTTGCTCGTTCAGTCCTTTTGCCATTCTGTAAATATAAAAGCTGTTCGGTACGTTTATCCGGAATAATCCTGTTTCTTTTTTTTTTCTTTTTTGCAGGAGTAGCTCTCAGTGCGTTTTACTATGGTTACATAGTGACTCAGCTACCAGGTGGAGTTCTGGCGCGAAAATTTGGCGGCGCCACCATGCTTGGCCTTAGTGTGGGTACCAGTGGCGCTCTGACGCTGTTGACACCTTTAGCTGCGCGTGCGCATGTTGGGGTCTTGATTGCCTTGAGGATTGCAATAGGAATGGCAGAAGTAAGGAACACGACTATTTCGTTATTATTTGTGTTATAGGATTCTTTGTTTCTTTTATTCATTGATGCTTATCACATCCTCGCATGTTTTTATAAATCTCGTCCTTCTGCTGGAATTTTTTTCCTGTCTTGTTAGGGATTTGTATACCCAGCCGGGCATGCGCTATGGAGTCAGTGGGCTCCTCCTTTAGAAAGAAGTAAATTGGCAACACTCAACCCCGCAGGTACTTATCAAGGTCATTAAAGGTGCTTTTTCAATCTTGCAAGAGTAGCGAAAGTTGCTATAGATTCTTTGGCGGTGGTGCTCAAAATCAAGAAGTTTCCATTTTCTTGCCAGTCATCAAGATTGATGCGGCACATGCTCCGCTCTCGTGAGAAGACTGGACTTAAGGACGTTCGCGCACTTTGTTACAGCGCATCCTTTCTGCATACAAAATGCATGTCGCAGAGTCAAGTCATGTCATACACCAAGCGCGTCCGCTAAGAAAGAAATAGAAGCAAGTATAGGGGTTGACACCAGATGCGCGAACCTCGCCCACATTTTGCTCTCTTGGGTGCTCGATGACCCCTACTTTTCTTTCTGTAGATCAATTTCTTTTCCGATTTTATCCATTTTAACAAAAAACAGGAAAAATCTGTTCGTGAGAAGTTACAAATATTTCATTTTTCTGCTCTCGTGTGAGCGAAGTTTTCCTCAAATGTGGACTGGCAAGGCTAATATTTATTCTTTTTCTAGCCCTGTTTAACCTCAAGAAACGACATCAGCTCCAAAAGTTTACTTAATATACTTAGTTGTGATGAATTGAGTACGTTTCACCTTATCTAAATTTCACTAGTGTAGCTTTTTTATGTCCGACAGTCTGAAGCTAAGTTCGTCTTAAAGTAACGAAAACTGATCTCTAAATACGCATGGTCTTCAACGCGCCTAATCTCGAAAACTGGCGAGCATGGTGACCGAACCCCCATTTTTTTGGCTTTTTGTCAAAAGTTACTGCATAATAAGTTTTAAAAGATATATTCGTGGGAACATTTTGGGTGCGAACGTCCTTAAGGAAACACATTTGAGCCCTTTAATTGTATAATTATTCTATTTTAGTAATTCAGTATCGAACGGTTAAGGGAGGCAAACTAGAAACATCAAGGTGGCTCAAAACAGTTTCCAACACTCAGATTTTGATGGCTCGTTACAACCACTCTTTATCACTGGAAGCTACTTGATGCTACAATCATGGTACAGTGGAACCCCGCTCTACGGACACCCGCTTAATACGG